GCTCCAGGCAGAAACAGCACGGCACAGAGGTCTGAGGGAGGCAGGCTGCTCACGTCATGACTGTTGGGAAGCAGGGAGGGAGGAGGAAGCAGGGCACATCTGCAGTGACCTTCCCCGCCTGGCCAGGCCCCACCTCCCAGCAGAGCACTCACAGTGGATTTATCCACCCATGATGGCGCCCCGTGACCCGGCCACCTTCCACCTTCCTAAAGCCCCACTTCTCCACGTGAGGCTTTAGGGGGATTCTTGATCTAACCAGTGACATTTAAGAAACCGATACCTATTCCAGGGTCAAAGATTTATATCTGTTTTCTTCTAGGAATTTTATAATATCTCGTATTTAAGTCTTTATCCACTTTGAATTAATTTTTCCCACCACTCATTCTTGGTCACTGTAATTTTCCACATACCCTCGGGATGCTTTTAAAACCTACATCAAGTTGTATCATTCCTTTCATAAAATCTTCAGTGGTTTCTCATCATACAAAAAATAAATGCAAACTCTGGGCTGGAAGGCGGGCCTGGCCCTTGTCATCTGTCTTCGCTCCATCCCTAACCAGCCAGCCTGTTCCTTTAGCACTGCAGTCTTGTCCTGTTGGCCAGGCCTCTTGCTGTCTCGGGACCTCTGGCCGCACCGTTCCCTCTGCCTGCTTGCTGGGATGGTCACTGCCTCCACTCGGTTTGAGGGCCACTGGAATGTTATTTCCTCAGCCGTTGCTCACCAGCCTTGCTCCATTTGCTTGCTTAGTAGTCTGATCCTTATTTCATTGCACTGTAAGTGAGGTAAAAATTCTTGCCTTTTCTTGTTTACGTTCTGCTTCCTGTCCTGCAAGGTGAGCACTGGGTAGGGATCATCCCTACTTGTTCGCTGTGATTTCCACATCCTCTGTCACAGTGCCAAATATATTTAAGATATATTTCATTTGATTGCAAAGTGAAAAATTCATTGCTTCATTTTTGGCAGGTTAATTTTGTCTTCAGAGGGCCGGGGATGTAGCTCAGTGGCATAAGTGCCTGTCTGGCAAGCACGAGGTCCTGAGTTCAATTCTTGGTACCAAAAAAAAAGTGGAATTTTGTCTTCAGAGTTTTCCCTATATTTTTCTACATTGTGATATTTCGATATCTGTATAGGATGGAGAAGGGTAGAAAAATGGAACTTGTTTTTAAACACTTTTGCTCATTGTTCATAGGTAGATGCAGAAATTTCAAGGGCAAAATGAAGCTTGGGATGATTTGCCAACATATTATGTATCTCAGGAGTAGAATTTTTACAAAGGAATGTTCCTAGGTCAAAAGTTTAGTATTCATTTGTTACTTATTTTTAAAAGCTGGCTAGGCCCTTGTTTTTCTTGTACTGCTGTGACAAAGTTGCCTTGGCACCAAACAAATAGGTTCACAACCATTGTTCCATTGAAGTGAGATTTTGATACTGTCTCCTCTCAGCACAATTGAATTAAACACTGGTAGAATTGTACAGTGTTAAATATTCTTAGAGTGCAGTCCGAGTCAAGCGCCTTCACACCTTTAGGCGTTGTGGTGTGTATAGGGTTCACTCTCCAGCACCTCACCGTCTTGAAGGAAATGCTGTTGTAAATGTTGGTTTATCACAAGAGAGCACCATGTTATGAATAGCTTGTGGGAGGAGAGAATATCCTTTACCAGTGTTAGTTTTTGAAAGCCAAGCTCCATTTTGTAAATTCATTTTACTAAAGCAGCATTTCCTGCATTTTATTAAAGTGGCCTTCTGAGTGATACTGAGATGTAAAAATGCTGTGTATATCAGCTGGACCGCCTTGGTAGGAGTTTACTAAGATTAGGAATATATTAATGAAAATTCCTCTCCTTTATGGTAGGTTTGAAATTAAGTTTTACTTCATTTATGTAGTTTTGCTAAGTTATTAATTTACTTAGATTCATTGAGGAGAGATGTATTTATGTTCTAATGTTAAATCTAAAAAGAAGTAAGTTTGAAACAAAACAAGCCCAAAGAGTTGTACTTTAATTCTCTAAATCAAAACAAAGATGAAATGTTGGAATTCACAGGGTAGGATAAATACCCTGATAAAAAAGATAGTAGCAGTGGGACTGAGTTGAAGAAATACTGAAACTTTCCTGTAGATTTGCTTCCTGTTGTTGGCCATTAATAACTGCCTTTTTTTTTTTTTTTTTAACTAAGCGAAGTTTAGGACATTATCACTTTAGAACAGTTTTAGATATTGAAGTCTTTCATCATAAGGCAGTGAAAATATACTTCTGAGCTAACATACATAGCTGCATAGCTATTTCTGGTCTGCCTTTTCTGAGTTAATCAGCTGAACTACTGATAGATGTTTGTCATTCTCTCAGATGAGTCAGTAATCTCGCAGCTTGTCTTCAGTTGCCGGTGTGTATTACGTTGTGCCTTAATTAGACCTCACTCACACTAAAAGATGCAGGTTCTCATTCTTTAGCAATGTGAGAAGGCTTTGGTGGTGGATAATCTTTGGCTTTTAAGGTAATACTGTTTTCATTTATCTTGGGTTCATATATCTGAAGTTTGAATCATCCCATGAGTTGAAAAGAAGAAACTGTCAAAGAATTAGCCCTCTTCATTACTGTCTTTGAAGGATATGAAGGCACACATAAACAAACCTCCTTATGCCCTGGAATCTCACTTGCACTGCCATATGTAATAGTACATTAACTTTTCTTTTATGTGATATAACTTGTCAGAATATTGAAATCTGCTAGCTGTACATCTATTCTTATGTACCGTGGGCCTGATGTCTGCGAGCTGGAAGGAAAGGATTGTCCACACCACTGTGGACAGTCTGTTGCTGCACAGCTGTCTGGCTGAGTGTGGTTGCGCCCATGTGCCTTGCTTAGTCTCCAGACTTCAGCATAGGAGTGGTTCTGGCCAACTAACTAGGTAATCTTAGTTCAGGGCCAGAAGTCCTTTCTGTGCTCCATATTTTCTTAGTTCTTTCTCTCAGTTGAAGCAGTAGTTATTTGAAAGTTCTTAGGAGGCTGAGGCAGGAGGATCACTGTTGAGTTCCAGCGCAGTCTGGGCTACATAAGGGAGTTTAAGGCCAGGCTAAACTACATAGCAAGACCCTGTCTCAAAACAGCAAAAAACCCAAAAAGTTCTCAGAAAAGCAGCTGTGATGTGGAAAGACTAGATAATACTTGAAGCTGGAGCGCATAACTGTAGTTTGGACAGTTAAAAAGCCACTTAAATGCTGGTTATCTGAAATGATGAAATAATACTTCATAGTATTACTGGAATATTTAAAGAAAACACGTGAATGTACCTAACTTCATGTCATAATTTAAAATGAGTAACCGCTGTGTTTTGAGCTCTTATTGTATTGCATGATGTGCTAAATACATTATGGATTTTTACCTGATCCAATTTGTAGTAACTGGGATAGGTAATATGAACTCTACTCAGCACGAGAGGAGGTTCAGGGGAGTCAAGTAATAGGCCCAAGGTCACATAGCTTCTGAGTGACGATGTTGGGATTTGAGCCCAGTTTCTGTGAAGCTGCTGTGTGGACAGGAGGCTCCATTTAGTAAAAGCAGTGATTTTGAAGACTAGCAAGACGGATTTTTCCACGTATTTGTTAATGAGTACTGTTTTCATGATGTATTGGTAGATTTTTTTTTTTTTTTTTGTCGGAGTTGCTCCTGTTAGGAATTTGCACATGCTTCCTGGATGTAGATATTAATCATGTGTTTAACCCTTCCTTTGGTCATACTTTAGGCAGTGATGACAGTCATTGCTCATACTACCTGCAGAGGTTTATACTTGGGATATGCTTTGATTCCCCTTTTATTTTTTCCTTTAAAATGTTTAATGCTTGATAAAATAAAACAAACTTTTAGTACCATAGACACCTTCTGACATGTACAGTGATATGTTACTACTATGTATGATTTCAAAAACAAAAGCTTCCAGCTCCAAGTAAAGTGATGTTGACCATCCTAACTGAACTTAAGTTAATAAGAAATTTCCTAGATGGCCAGTGTTTTCCTTGACTTGGAAATAAATCAGACAGTTCAAAATACAAATAAGACCTTCAGTGAATTGAGAATCATAAAAGTGCTATCTGAAGTGCAGTCATCCGGATCTTGGGAAGTTTGTAGTAGTTGTAGGAGCTCAGCAAGCACAGTGAAGCCTTGTGGATGTTCCAGCCTCAGTCTCCAGGACAGGTCCTGTGGTTCGCAGTAGGTCTGTTAAAAACAAAGAGCCCTTCCCTGCTGTGGCGGAACTTGGTCAGTGACTCATTTGCAATTTTTCACCAGCTCCTGGACTCCATTCTCATCCATGATGAAAGGTGCATGGAATTCTTTGTCTGCCAGATAACTTTCTAGACCTTCTCCAGCATAGGAAATATTTCCTACACTGTCACATTGTCACTTCTTTTGATCTGTTCTGTCAGCTATATTGAAAGAGCACGTCAGAAGAGATACTCTCTTCTCAAGCTTACTTTGTATTATGAAACCACATAATATAGTCTTACCTCCCCAGGAAAACTAGTATGTTGTATTAATGTGAAAGCAGGGTAGCTTAGTCAACTCTTAGTTTTCACTTCAGGGGAGAAGATCAAAAGCTTCTACGAAGGAATTGTTTCTATTTAAAAAACCACCTATGTAATTAAACTTTCTTAATTACATTTTTTAACATTACTTTTCCCCTTGGTACTTTGGGATTGAAATAAAACGTGATGATAGTCTTGAAGTTGGGTGTGGTGGCACACACACACCAGTAATCCCAGCACACTTGAGGCTGAGGTAGGAGGATCACTTTGAGTTCAGAGCCAGCCCGGGCTACATACTGAGTTCAAGGCCCACCTGAATTACAAAGTGAGACCTTGTCTCAAAAAAAGAAAAGAAAAAAAAACAGTCTTGAGTACTGTATCAAACTTAGAACATGATCACATTTGATAATAGTATTGTTTACTCATTTCAACAAAAAGATTGATAATATAGTTGAAAATATGTCCAACCTCTCTTCGCAGCAAAGTTCCTACATTCGTGAGGATGATTGCTCCCGAAGGCTCCTTGGTGTTTCATGAGAAAGCCTGGAATTCATATCCCTACTGTAGAACAAGTAAGCGTGGTTCCCAGCAGCCATTTTACCTTTGTGCCCCAGGATAAGGAGAGCGGCTTCGGCGCTGAGGCCTTGAAGCTTAAGGGGTACACCAACCACGGCCTTCTGTGGTTCTTGGGTGGTCACTGCTTGAGTGATGGCAGAGAAGTGGCTGCATTGGGCTTCTCCCTGAGGCTTGTATGAAGGGAGTGAGTTCATTCTTGGGTGACAACCACATTTGGGTCCCCACTGACTCTGCTGGCTCAGGGGTGAGCCCATGAATACAGAAGTGACAAGTAAAGGTCATCTGCACTCAAAGTGTCTTCTGGTGTACTTTTCACAGTGTTTGCTGGGGATATAGCTCAGTGGTACAGCGCCTGCCTGGCAGGTGCAAGGTCCTGAGTTTGATTCCTGGTACCCAAAAAATCCAGTGTTTTACTTATTTTGCCACATTATAGGGAAGTAATGTAACCTATTTCTAAACAGTTTCCTGTTATTTGCTCACTTAACTTTATAAATACTGTTTTCTGGTAGTATTCATGGTACTATGCTCTTTAGCATTACTAAAAGTTAGAGTATTCTCCGTATTTTATTTGGACTGTGTGATCTAAAGTATCCTCTGGTGTTATTTGTGTAGAAACTGTTTTGAAGGCATAAGCTACTAAATGTTCTGTGTTTTCAGGTAGTTTAGTCTTTGTGACATAAAATATTGGGACAGATTGTTTTAACTCCAATTAATCTGAAAATTTTCCTGTTTTATTGCCTGCCTCTCCATTATGCCTCAGTTGTAACGGTGAGTAAGACTGTTTTTGTCACATAATCTTCATCTTTAAACTTTGCTCTGCGTAGTAATTATTGTCACCTACTGTTGGCTTTTTTATTAAAACTACCCATTGCTGCATGCCTCCCGTGCTCCCTCTTCTGCCCACACTCACACGTTCTCGGGTGCTTGGGCTCTGTCCGCCTTGTCTCAGAATCTCCCTGTTTTATTTTGCTTTTGCTACTTTATATGCCGGATTTGCTGACCAAACCTCGCAGCTTGTTTATTAGTCCTGTAAGCTGCATGATGAGCAGGATGGTTTAAATTGTTTAAAAGCATGCAGCATTTAGTTTTCTTGACAAGTCTGTAAAAACTATAGCTCCTGACTGTGTCACTTAAAGAGAGGCCTGTTCGTAAAGTCAAGGCCTGCGTGCTTGTGCTGAGAATGCTCCTGGAGACACGGGTACCACAGAACCAGGGAAGATCACTTTCCTTTTCCTGTTGTGTCTTCTGCAGAATGAATATATGAAAGACGACTTCTTCATTAAAATTGAAACATGGCACAAACCAGACTTGGGAACGTTAGAAAATGTAAGTTTGAATTCAGTCAGGAATCTCCTGTGAACAGAAATTGCTATGTGTAGCAAACATGGCATATACCACACAACAAAGTGATGTAATGTTAATTAGATTAGTACCTGGCCACATCAGGCCATGTCAGATGGAGGTGAGGCCCGCAAGGCAGCTGGGTACAAATGTGCTTTCTCTGTTCCCTTGCATTGGCACTTGAGTGTGCTTTGGTGAGATGGCTGTTTTAATCAGCAGTTCTTTCTGGAACAGGGAGAGTATGGAACGCAGATAATTTCCAACCCAATTTTAGCCATTACTTCTAGATTGTTTTCATCTCTGTATTTGCCGGAGCTCTTACCATGCCATAGCAGGAGTGATTGCTTTAATTTTCACCTCTATTCCAGTTTGCTGGGATAGGAGTTGAAGTCAGAGAAAGGATGTATGTCATCTAGACTCAAAGAAATGTAATCATTAAAGATTGTTGGGGAGCGTGGGAGGGTGTCTGGCTCACTTTAAGCCCTTGCCTTTGGTGGTGCTTGAAACTATCCCTGGAGGGACAGCAGCATGTGTGAGTACTTGTTAGAAATGCAGCACTTAGGCTTCACCCAAGAACTACTGAATCAGAATTTCTGGGCATGGGGCTCAGCAGTCCTTTTCCTGGTGCAAGTCCCACTTTGAGATCCACTATTCCAAAATTAGGAAGAGGAGTGTCACAGGAGTGTAAGTTATTGATTGTGGTAAATTCTGTTCTTTCTTTTTTTTTTTTTTTTTTTTTTTTTTTTTTTTTTTTTTTTTTTTTTTTTTTTTTTTTTTTTTTTTTTTTTTTTTTTTAATGGTAGCAAAATTTTATTAATGGTAGGAAAAGAAACAGGCTTTTGCAAAGCAAGTTTGGGCCAAGTAAAAAGAAAAGAAGTTCACCCTACTGCCTGAGGGTGGGCCACCATGGAAGAGTGAACAAGGGGCAAATGTATTATGTTGTTTTGTTCTTGATGCCAGGTGGCAGAACTTTCAAATTTTTAATTTGCAGTACTTGAGTTTTCTTTCTCTTCTCTTTCAAGTGATCATTGGATATTTTATGTTTTTTAGTAATTCTGTAAGATTTAGAGTCTAAAGAGATGATTAGGTATGTTTTAATCTGTGTTTGCGTTAATCTGCCATTTCCTCCTTCAAGTAGGCATATCTGTTGGCAGTTTTTTAAAACAACTCTTAATTGGTTCACAGTTTCAGAAATAAATGATTGACCAACATGAAGTATAGAGTTGACTTCATGCTGAGAATGAATAGCTTTAGGGTAATCAAATTTTTTTTTGAGACAGGGTCTTGCCATGTAGTTCAGGCTGACCTTGAACTTACATTGTAGCTCAGCCTGGCCTCGAGCTTGCAGGGATCAACTTGGCTCAGCCTTCTAAGTGCTGGGATTATAAGCATGTGCCACTATGCCTGGCTCAAATTCAGAAAATTTTTTTTTTTTTTCAGAAAAGTATTAATTCAGCTGCATATAGCACAACTTCTTGAAGTCTAAATGATACCTTATGTTAGTGCAGCATCTGCACAGGACAGGTACATTTATTTGGCTATATAAACTGTTTCCTCAGGACTACCAGAATACAATATTGACAGCTTTCTCTTCATTTGGCAGTGTCCTTACACATACACACCACCCCTTATCTTAGGGAGCTATAAGTGTAAGAGTTTTACCTTCTAGAATTTGCTTTGTTTCATTTTTGTGTCATTTGTAGGTTCACGGTTTGGATCCAAACACATGGAAAACTGTTGAAGTTGTCCACATAGATATTGCAGATCGAAGTCAAGTTGAACCTGGAGTAAGTATAGTTTGATGACATTTCGATGACAAACATCTAAAAATGATTTACTTTATTTTCTATATGGCCTATGTTTCTACACTAAAATGACCCTGGAGCTCAGATCTGGGTCTGTGCACAAAGAACCCTGACAGTAAGATAAAGCAGTTTGTTTTCTGTGCAGATTTTGCTTTTATCCAAGGGATTCTTTTAAGGGATCCCAATATGTCTGGCATATGTGTTTCATTTGGGGAAAAAAGCACATTGTTTACAAAAGTATTCTCCCTTGCGCTTCTAGACTTTTCCAGTGTGGTAAGAAGGCAAAAATGGGATAAATTTTTGGTAACTCAGCTAAGGTTGAAGTTGTTGCACAGTGTATGATGTGTAATATCATTACTTTTTTTTCTTTTGGTACTACGAATTGAACCCAGAACCTTCACAATAAACTACATCCCCACCCCTTTCTGTGGTATTTTATTTGAGACAGGGTCTTGCTACATTGCCTAGGCTAGGCTCCAGTTTTATGTGTGATTTTCTTGCATTAACTTCCAGTGTTCTAGGATTTATCATGTGCCACTGTGCCCATCTGATATATAATATCTTAATTTAAATGCTGTTTAGTTTTCTGTTTTGGTTCTTATTAAAGGTAAACGTTTATAGTTCAGGCTTTTGACTTTAAATTCTTTTCTCCACAAGTAAATGCACTTACATCCCGTGCCAAATTAAGGCCCCTTGTACTGTTTTGTTGAGCTCTTCGAATATTAACTGAGTTCTTATTTTATAGTGTGCCAGGGTGCCATCATGTTTCACTTTAGCAGAGCACGATTGTAGACTGCGCGAGTTAAAACAAGCAGTGATCATCTGGCGAGAGAGCCAAAGCTGTATAAAAAGTGTGGTTGGCGCCCTGTGTTTTGTCCTGGTCGAGCACAGTATGTTCAGTGAGCATTTTCTTCCTTTTCTGTTTTTAGTGTTTAGTCTCTGAATTTGAGCTGTGCTGTCAGCTGATTAGGAATAATTCAAACAAGAAATGTCTGCTTTTGCTGTTGTGTTTAAAGGTAAAAGAAAACGAAGGTCATTGACTTTTTCTCTGAAATCATGGGTTGTGGCTGACAGCAGTGACCTCATGTCCCCTTGGCCCCTTCACTGACCTGAGGTGTAGGCACTGAGAAGGGACCCTTTGTCGTAGAAGTTCTTTTAGTTGTGCTGTGGTTTGAAGTTACTTCAGTTTTAGGATTATTTCCACCTATGAAATCATATAGGGAGGTGTCTTAGGTAACTTTTCTCTTTGCTGAGGCAAAATACCCACGCCCAAAGTTAAAGGAGGAAAGGTTTATTTCAACTAACATTTTGTAGAGATTTCAGTCCATAGTTGGCTGACTCAGGTAGGGTGGCATAGCAGAGGAGCATCAGAGGGACATCAGAGGGGAAGCAACTCATGGTAAGCAAAAGGCAGCAAAGTAGCAAAGAAGCAGCAGCTGGCCTGCCTTCTTTCTGTCCTTTTATATCCATCCAGGCAATCTAACCTATGCGGGGTGCCACCCATATGCAGGGTGGGCCTTCCCCTTCCCCACACCCAGAACTATGCCAAACCGATCAAACCTAATTTAGTACCATACACCCTTAATCCCAGCATCACACACCCTAAATCCAGCCACCTCTGAAAAACCCCACCTAGGACTGTCTGAGGCTTGGGGGAGGGAGGGAATATCTAGACATAAGCCATAACAGAAGGTTTTTTATCTTTAGAAATGAAGAACATTCAAATGATAATCTGTTTTGGTCACTTAACTTCTCTTAGTCTCTTTCTAGCCATGATTTACAGTATGTAAAAGAATGGTGATCTGAAGAAAAATAGGAGTATGTAGTCAGTGAATGAGTCAATCAGGCTCGCTGACCAGCCTAGAGTTGCTGATCACTGGAGGACACCATGCAGCAGTGTGGCTCACCAGAAGTGGGTGCCATGGGGAAGACTTCACAGGCTGGTGTTGAAACACTGTGCTGGCCAAAGGGATTCTGTTATTCAGATCTTGTGGTCCACTGATTTGCATTCCCTGTTCACCAGCAGAGTGCAAGGCATCTTTGGTTTAAGGGAAGGGAGAAGAAAAGTAGCTCTGGTCCTCAGGCAAAAATGGGCACTCAGTGTTGCAGATGGGACCACAGGTGGAAAGAACAGAGTAAGGCAGATTATAGGCAGTAGAACCCTAGAGGCTCTGGTTCCCATTCCCTCTACCTCACAGAAGCCTTCAGGGGAGCGGGAGCACCCTGCTAGCCTAGAGAATGCACGGCACCAGCAGCCGAGGCCATGTGGGGCTCCATGTGGAAGGCACTGTATGTGCAGAGGCTGCATAGGTGGCTCTGTGCAGGGGTGATGCTTGGGGTGGATACGGGGTGGAAGACACTGGGCCGAGTCCACGCATCGTGTGTGAGTGGAGGTGTGACGAAGAACATAAACCCTGAAACCAAATGGGCTTCACAGTCAAATTCTGAGGTTCCACCATCTGCTGACTCTTTGCTCTTGGACAGGATATGTGACTTCTCTGTGCTTGTAATTTGTGAAGTACGGTGGCTGTTGGGGCTGGGGATTTAGCTCAGAGGCAAAGCGCCTGCCTGGCAAGCGTAAGGTCGTGAGTTCGGTTCCCGGTACCGGAGGGGAAAAAAAAAAGGTACGGTGGCTGTTTATCTCGCAGGATAAATGAGGGTACTTGGAGCAGTGCAGTTCAGGAAGGGCTGGTCATTGTGCCGTCATTACCTGCACTTGCTCGTACAGGCGTTGCGTCCACAGTCACACGGGTGCTGTGCAGCTGGTGAGTGCTCACCTGTATGTGTGCGGGCGTGCGGTCCAGTGTTCGTGGTTCCCTTTTTCAAGTTACATTTTAGGGTTGAGTAGGTAAAGACTTATTTTAAAGCACATTGAATTTTCAGTAGCGTTTCTTCACTGTAATAAAATATACATAAAACTTCTATTTTCAAATGAACAATTCAGTGGCATTTAGTGTATTCAGCCAGTCACCCCGGTCTCCTTCCCAGAATATATTCATCACCCCGGGCACCGTGTGTCCACTACAGTCACTGCACTGCTTTGTACCCCAGCCTTTAGTAACTGCTAGTCTGTACACCCTCACGCTTGGCCTGCTCTGGGTATTTCACGTACGCAAATCGTAACAGTAAGTAGCCTGCTGTTTCTGGCTTCTCTCTTACACTTTGCATGTTTTCAAGGCATTTTCACATAGCATGTGTCTGCACTGCGTTCCTTTTCATGGTTAAAAAGTATTCCATTGTGTGGACATGGACATGCTTACGCATTTGTTCATTGGCGGCATTTTGGGCTCTTTCCATCTCTTGGCCGTTGTGAGCAGTGTTGTTGTAACCTTTGTGTCACGGTCATTTTTTTTGTCTTCAGTGCTTTCTCAGTCATGGATAACGAAAGTACAGCTAACATATTGGGATTGTCAGACCTTCTGACATCCAGAGAACCCCGATACGCACATTTTTCTGGTATAAAAAGGAGAAGAGGGGGAACTTCGTGATGGTGAAAGTGCCCATGACGGTCTTTAAGCCTATGAGTGATGGGAGCAGAGCACTGAGCTGCCGGGGTGTGTGAGGCTGGGGTGAGTGGAGGGCTGTGGCCCAGTGCCCCTGCTTAGGGAGCAGCCGGTCTTGAGACCTGGTGAGAGAGGAGTGCTGTCGACGTAGTGGTCCTCAACGTCTTTCCGTATCCTGTTTTATTGTGTTAGTTTTTTTACTTGATTCTGCTCTTTCATATGAATTTGTTACATGAAAATTCGAGTTCATGGTGTTTAGAAAAGGAAGAATTAAGGGCGCATTGGCGGTTCTAAAGTGGCAGTGTTGTAGCAGTCAGCAGGTATTGAGTGCTACTCAGTATACAGCCGTCGTGGCGCTGTGGTAGCTTTCCAAGATGGGTATAATGCCCCAGGAGTCTGAGTCAGCCCAGCCCACAAGTGTGAAATAGCTACCAAGTGGTAGAAGGTTATGGGGTGCAAAGTGCTGCAGGATTTCAGAGAACGGGTAATCTCTTAGGTGGGAAAGGCTGGGTGGAATCTTGACTGGAGGATGGGTAGGATTTTGGTGGGTGGAGCGGTCCATCCCCACTCATTATACTTTCCCTTCATTTCCTTTCATTGCTTTGACACATTATAAATTTCTTGGCTCTTTTCTGTCTCTTTTTCAAATAGAAATTGAACCTCAGAGAAATGAGTGTATTGTTGACCTCTATTGGCTCCTACAACAGTGCCTGAGATTTATTTATTTATTTGTTCATTTATTTTTTATTTTTTTGTCTTTCTGAGACAGGGTCTCTGTATGCAGTTCAGGCTGGCCTTGAGTTCACTTTGTAGGTCAGGCTGGTCTTGAACTCACAACGATCCTGCTGCCTCAGCCTGCCTGCCTCAGCCTCCCGAGTGCTGGGATTACAGGTGTACGCCACCACGCCTGGCTGTGCCTGAGATTTAGTAGGTACTCAGTGAATGGGTGTTAAGTAAATGACCAAGTTGTCATTAGGCAGAATAGAAGTGAAGGATGGAAGTCCAGCGTCACGCTGATGGGGGACGTTTTTTAGAGTGGGGCAGAACCTCAGCTATTTAAGATTCCTTGTTTGCTAGCCATGCCTTTCTAGTTTTCAGGTGTCCCCGCCAGTTGTTGGGATGGGATGAGTAGAATTTGAAGCTCAGTCTTTTGCGTTCTCCTGTACCAACAAACTTCTGCTTCTCTGGCATCGTCGTCTTGACCTTTAAATTTACTTTGAACCCATACTTCTGTCGTTGTATAACGTTTGGTTCCAGGGCTAGCACCCCAGTTTTACAAGCGAGGAATCTGAAGCCCAGATAAATTAGTTCCTCAGGATCACCGAACTAGCCACAGAAGTAGGCATTCTACCCTAATCCCGTGCTGTCTGCTGACTACTGATTGCTTCTGAGTGAAGGCCCTGCTTTGTCAGTCACTCTTCGAGTTGTCGCCTGAGCACTGTACGTGTTCCGCTCCTCCAACTGGTCTGCAGTGATCAT